AAATGGAATTGATAGAAACTGCAAAACACAGCTTTTACAGCATACCTCTAACACAACGGACAACATGTGGTCAATGAAAACATGGCGAAGTTGGAGCTCATGGTGCAAGATTTGGCGGAGAAGCTCGCAAGAGTCAACCGCAAGTCGCGGAGGAGCCGCATATCACGGTCGACTACGGCGAGGTTGAGCAACTCGACATCTAGTCGCGATGACTACGACGAGCGCTCGCAGGCAAAGCGCGCGACGTGCACGACCCGGCATCACGACGATCGATGGCAGTGAGAGGACCGCATACGCACAAGGCTGAGGATCACCATACCGACATTCGAGAGAACAAATCCGGATGCGTGGCTTAGTCGAGTCATGCAATTTTTTGAGATCAACGACATGCATAAGTCCGAGAGGGTCAAAATTGTTGCCTATTATCTAGATGGTGAAGCATATACATGGTGGCAATGGGTTTCACATGCTTACAAAAGCAAAGGCGAGCACATCCGATGGAGAGATTTCGAAAGAGAACTCATCACAAGGTTTGTATCTAGTGACTATTACGATTATGATGAGACTTTGTCGAGGATACGCCAAACGAGTAGTCTACGGGACTATCAAAAGGAGTTCGAGAGGATTGCTGGTCGCGTGAGAGATTGGCCCGAGAGCGCGCTAGTGGGCGCATTCATTGGAGGGTTCAAGGCCGAGCTAGCGGCTGAAGTGCATTTGGATAGGCCATGCTCGACAAGGGCTGCGATGGACTCGGCGCGACTGCACGAGGACCACATCGTGGCAGCGCGCAAGGCAGGCCGAGGTGAGGGGCACACGGAAGCAAGGCGCGTGAGTGCCGAAGTCGATGACACGCCCCCACGGGCTGAGACCAAGCCAGCCGGCGAGGTGACATGCACAACGAGCAACATGCGACGCCTTACTACCGATGAGATTCAAAGTAGGCGCAAGAAAGTCTTGTGTTTTACTTGCAATGAGAGATTCATGCCCGTGCATAGATGTGCAGGTAAGGAGGTGTTTTTGCTTGAGTTTGAGAAGCATGACCATGAGGTGAACGAACCACAAGAGGAGACTTTCCTACATGTGGTCAAGAGCAAGAAGAGAGGGTCGAAGATGATTCGATTCATGGCCAAGATACTTGGGGGGTTAGTTGATGTGTTGGTGGATAGTGGGTCCACGTTGAATTTCATAGATGAGGATTTATCGAAGAAGATGGAGTTTCCATTCACCAAGGTAAAGCCGTTTGGAGTCAAAGTGGCCAATGGAGAGCAGCTTAGGGGCGATATGCTATTCAAGAAGGTCCCGATATTAGCCCAAGGCCATGAGTTAGAGATTGATCTATATGCCTTACCATTGACGACAACGAATGTGGTATTGGGGGTACAATGGCTAGAGACACTTGGTCCGGTCACGACTGATTACAAGAGAGGCACTATGGAGTATGAGCGCTCGAGGAAAAGGATTAAGTTGCGAACCGAGACCCAGAAGAGTCGCCCGATGAGGAAGACGAGGAAGTCGACGTGATCAACTTCATCATACTTGAGGACAAAGAAGTACTCGAAGAGGACGGGAATGATGAAGATGTGGTCATCGACCCTAGCGAGCCCGAGGATGAGTCCTTTGATGATCTCAAGAATTGGCTTGAAAGGGGGCTGGATGAGTCGCAAATCTGAGAATATTGGCCCACTTACAGGCGAGATTGGCCGAGAGGTTATAGGAAGAGGGCACGAGCACGTTCTAAGAAGCACAAAGCTAGAAGTGCGAAGAAGCGACGGAAGGTGGGCACACGCAACGAAGATGAAGGGGCTGCATGTGCGAGGGAATGGTGCAAGGCATGCGCGCGGGGAACGATGCGTGCACCATTTGGAGACTAGGCGTAATGGCGCACATGGGGAGAATGTTGGGTGGAGGGTGCGCACGAGGGACGACCGCAAATGGGCGAGC